ACCAATGTTAGCAATTTAGTTTTTTACATGTCTAAAACCATATAAGGGGTGTCTCGTAAGTAAAGGGAAATATTTAAAGGAGTGATAGCAAAACGCAATAAATACAAAAAAAGTTTATATAAACAATAGTTCGATTTTTAGCAGGAAAGTAGGGAATTAAAGATTTGTGATTTTTTATGTCACATTTTTTGTTGAATAGGAAGTGATAAAAAAAAAAATTAATTTAAGTAATTAATGATAGCTTCACTGAAAACTACTCAAAATTTACTCTAAATAAAAATAGAGTTTGCTTTTATTAAAACCATTTAAAGAGGACTTTTGAGCGGCTAAACTCAGCTAAGGAGTGAGGGTAATGGGTAGTGGTGGAGGAACGTGTAGTGGTGGGGGAAGCATGTGGTACAGAGGTGCGTCCCCCCTTGAGAAAATTCCTGGATCCGCCACTGTACGGATTGTTGTTATCTGAAGGCTATTCGATTTCTTCACAAAAAAAATATTTTGAACAGCTAAATTATTGTATTAATATTTGTTAGAAAATACAATCAAAATAATGTACTAAAAACGTTATTATAACGCTATAACTTTGCCATTTATGAGGACTGAATGTTGTGGCAGAGGACTCTAGGTGCCTATGCAAATTGTACGTAATCGTTTCAAATATTTTAAAAAGTAGTCAGTTTTTTAGAAAGATAATCGTATTCTCCAGATATTTTATATCGTTATTGTTGGCCACTCATTTATAAACAACGCCTGATTTTCAACGTTAGTTTCAACGACTTGAAAAAAAAAACTTTACTGGTATTTTTTATTGCCAAGACCTTTTATTTTTTAAATATTTTTTCCTATCTAATTATTTTATAACTATTCAGCTTTCATAAAAGACTAATTATGATGAAATTACGCCAAATGCTGAATCTCAGTGATTAAAAAACTAACTGAAGTCAAAGAAGTCATTCCGCCTTGTTTGGACGCTATTTTAGGACATTGTGGCCACTTTGTTGTGAGAAAATTGGCTTTTTTGTTGAGAAAAAGTTCCAAAGAACATAACTGTATGCAGTTTTTTTAGGATATGGGGAGAGGGTATACGTAGTGGGATCTGGCCCACCGAGTAATATACTTTTCAAAACACCTCCCGACTATCGTCTACCGTTTCAGTCAACGGCTGATTATCTTCATGGAAAACCTCCAAATTTTCTGAGTGAGATTTAAAATGGAATTACAAATTTTTTAAACCCAAAACCCAAAACTAGTGTGAAGAAATCGAAATGGGTACATTTTGTAATCTCGATAGTTCGCTTCCTGTTGGGTTTAGCAAAAAAATGTTATGTAAAAAATATCAGATAATTTTAAGCTGTTTAAGATTGAATATAAAAATTTTTTATATATGTCACTCTGAAAAGGAGATATTTTGTGTAAACCAAAAAAATTTGGAAATTTCAATGGTTTTTGGAACACTGCAGCGACCTCACAAGGCTTTCAAGGGCGGAAACTGGTTTTTTTTATATTCACTGTACACTTAACAATATAAAAAATAAATTTGAATTACCCGAACTTTTTCAAGGTAATGTGTCTAATTTGACTGGGCTCATTGTATGTATGTTCTTAATAATTTTTATTTACTCTGTTTATCATTTGTTATTTACATATCTTGTAACTGCTACAGTTTTCTATATCCTTTGTATTTTATTCGGTCTATCCCTGATGGAGACCTTCATAATTGGGTAGAAACGTCGGCTTAATAAAATAGTTTCCACTGTTTTATTTTTTATTTTTTTTGTTTTTTTATGACCGCCACTCCACACCATCTGAGATGGTCAACTATTGAGTATTAAAAATACATATATTAGATAATTATTAGAATATTCCAACATGACTAACTCATATTCTTTTGGAAAAGTTCCCGTAGTTACTTTTCTTTTGTCCTCGTAATCTCACTTCAACGTGATTACATGAACGAACTATGAGCTGAGACGATTTGCTGTTACGTTGTTTTATTATAGTTCATGGTTGCTTTTTCAACTTTTCATGAGAATTTATTATTTATATGTCCTAAATAACACTTGAATTACTGAAAAGTTGACTGGAGGGTGAGTTAATTCGCGATAGTGAGTATCAAGTTGAAAGAAACCGAATTTTAAGTAAGTTAATTTGTATTTCTTCAATCGAATATAATTTAATTGCAACTTAATGAATAATTTACAAAAGTATTTTACTGAAACCTAAATTTATTTGGTAATAATAATAGAACAAGATAACCTCCGATTTTACCGTTTAATGAATAAAATTTTCACGAAGTTCACTCCAAATAATAATTAATAAATTATTTAACTTGATACCTGTTTCATAACTACTGAAACGATTTTGAAACCATGAAAACTCATTTACGAAAAAATGTAGGGGTTGAAAAATTTTCCTTTGAAATCTGAATAGTCTACTTATTTCAGTCTAGCAATGATGATAATAGAAATCTGGAAATCTATGCTAAGCCTGGAAATTGCTACCACAAAATCATATTTCTGATGTTTCGGAAGAAGCGGAGGCGTTTCTAAAAATCTCACTAAAGAATTTCTATGGGAGAAAAGCTGAGAGGTCTGATCAAGTCAAGCCTAAGGAACTTCTAAGGGGGCGCATCAAGAGGAATATCGGAGATTATGTCGGAAACAATATAAATTTTTTGAAATGGTTTCAAACAGTTTTGTTTGATAAATAGTTACTTAGATGTATATAGTTTTCATTTTCTACCGTATTTTGGTCATCGATTTTTGCTAGGCTAAATAGTATATAACACTATGCAACTACTTATTTTTTTTTAATTCATAACATTTATGTTACTTTGAACTAATGAAAAACCGATAAATTCCAAAGATTTTTTTTCTCGATCCTATAACTACATATTTCAAATTGCACGAAATAAAATTGTCAATCAACATTTGGTCAGGGATTTTCATTAAATGTGGGGCAAAACTCAACACCAAGAATGACTATAAATAAAAAAAGTAATAAATAATTTTTAAAAAGTGTGTAGACTCATTTTTTTTCTCAAATTATATTATGTTCAGTAACAATCTTTTCTATGATTGTTTTTTTTTTTTTTTACTTTTATAAACTTGATCAAAAGATATTTTGTAATTCTGAAGAAAATATATCAAGAAATGAAATGAAATGCGGGTTTAGGGTTTAGAATACACATGATTAGCATAGCAAGTCCCTATCGAGGGAATTTTCCTTCATGGAAGACCTTTGGTGAGAACCTGTGACATTCCATTAATTTTTTTTCAAATAAATTATCAAAAAAGAAGAATGAACAAATAATATAAGTGTCATTAGTTTGGCGTAAAATGACAAGAAATAATTAAATTACAGAGTTGTTATTATTTAGGGTTTGAAGGCATAAAATCCTGAGGTCATCAATGTCTATCTAATATTTATTTAAATAATAAAAAAAACTTTAATTGCAGAGTTATGTGAGCTTAGAATTAACATAAAGGATAAAATAGAGTAGGGGATAATAAGGAATGAAATTAATAAGATGCTTGGAACCAATGAGAATAGCCTTCCCAACATTTAACCTCTAATCATTGCTTGATGCCCAAGCATTAATACTGTCTATATCTTCTTTTAGCCTTTGAATCACCTCAAGCATCTTGGTAGGATGGAAGAAAAGGTAGGTGGAGGTCCAGTATCCTACTAGTATTTACTGGGTGCAGGATATGCATTTCTGAGCTTAGTTAATATTTTCTAAATGACTCTTCTTTCTTTGGTTCAATTATGCAATTTGATGATGTAAAACAAAAGTAGATTTAAGAGGAAGGGTGATTTTTGGACTGAAATTACGAACATTGGTCAACTTACTGGAAAATATAGGAGGTAACGTAAATGATGTCTTTGATTTAAGGAGGTGATAGCAGACTTCAATTTCAACAGAAAAGTTCAAATGTGCTATGGTCCGATTCCGAAGAGGAAAGAAGTAAATTTCAATTATTGAAAAATTATATCATTTAGATAATTATCAATTACAGCAAAGTAAATTAAACAAAATTTCCTTGAAACTGGAGGTGACTTTGTCTTTGTTAAACCCATTTTAAGGGGTTTTTATCAAGTGGTAAAGTAATAGATTATTCAAAGATTTTTTATCAGCCTTCTACTGGACTAAATATACCTCACTTGTAGAGAAGCTATTTTGTTTAATAAGTTTGTTTCAGAATAAACAGAGATTTTTAAACAAGTTTTGTAAAAGAAATTTGTGATTTAAATTTCATCTCCTCAGAACAGAGGTACATTTTCAGCAAAAACAACAAGTTATTATAAAACTTTTAAAACATTGTATTTCTGTGTCCTAAGATGCTTTATATTAAATTAATAACTAAAATGCACATTTTATTTATTAAGAATTTATTTAAAAAACAAAAAATGTTTGAGAATTATCACCTAAAATGATAGGGACCAGATGATTTGTCAATGAGTAATTGCCAAAACTTCCCTACATAGTAAAGTTGGTGGAGACATGGACAACCTATCACTGGCAGCTTCTTTCAACAGGAACTAACATTATTATCAAGTCTAAATGGGAATAGCAAAAACATTTTTTTTTATTTTTCCTTTTCTTTTTCCTCGAATCTACCACCAAAACAATAGCTAATAGAAAAAACATCAATAGGACTTTTAATGAAGAAAATGTAGTCTATTATAATTTTGTATAGGGGGTTATTTTTTCCTCAACTCAATATTTCAGAAATTGTGTAAAAATTAACTTTAAATATGAAATTCATTGCATTATATTAATTTACAATAATGAAAATAAATGTGTGGTAACAATTCTAAACTAAACCTATAGTCCAAGGTTCGATGCCATAAAAGTAGAAAATTCTGATCTAAGAGTTTTAATAAATGAACCCCACATGTACATATACTCACCATTTCTTTTCAGGCATAAAAATATATAACTAAAGAAGAACATATAAAAAATGTTTACTTTTGGATTTTAATGAAAAAAAAAAAAATACATTATGTATAAATTTTATTTGAAAATCAGGTAACATACAGGTTACAATAATGATATATATTATAATTATAAACATGAAGTGGCATGTTTGAGTAATTAGCCAAATGGAACTTATTCTTATTCTTATTATTATTGCAAGGTTAAATCAACACATTCCCTAACCATTTTGGCATATCCTTTTTTATTTTGTGTATAGAACACAGTTGCAGTTTCATTTGCTGGTGAATCAAAATAAGGCTCAGCAAGGAGAGACTGAAAAGCAAAAGATATAAAGCATGTTAATTTTGTATTATAAAACAATTTAGATCAACAAAGCTATTATAAATTTTATGAATAACAGTTATAATTACATCTAGTTGAAAAAAAAAAATAAAATAAGCATGAGCACAGAAATAACTGATTTCTAAAAACTGATTCTGAAAAAGAAAAAAAAAAACCGATATCACTACAACTCAAGAAGTGCATTAGAAGTTAGTACCTAACCCGCTGAGCTAACATGCTCCCAATCATGAAAAATAATACTTATAATTATACCACATTAATCCAACTATTGATTGATTCGTAAAAAAAAAATGGTCAATTGTGGATCAAGTGAATCAGATAAAAATAATTTAATAAATTATATACATTACTATTTGCACAATATAAAAAGTTGTGTTAGATTCGCACTTAATTAATGTTTTGATCTGGTGTTATGAATTATGTTTTGTATTGGTTTTTTGATGAATTTATTCTTCTTTTTTTTTTTTTATGGAAGTATCAAGGATATCAACTTGATTTCAATAAACCATTTAGACTTGAAACAGATTATTCAATGCACTTAATAAACATTTTACTTGAAAGCAGTGGCCTAACTACGATTTTGGAGGCCCATGGCAGGCAACTTATGAGGACAAATATATATAGATGTGGATGAGACTTTTTACTATATTTTAATTCCATAATTTTAAATAGATGACAATTTTTTTTTTTAGTAAAGTTAGGTATGTATACATGAAAAAATGTCCTAATTTGATGCCACACCTTAGGCCAACTCCCATATCATTTGCCACTTTGTGACTTGCTATTTATGTCCTAGCTTCAAAGAATTTGGTGTTTGTACTGAAAAGCCAAAAAGAGATAGCTGGAGGCATGTCCTTATCTGCAATTATAGATTTATGTGGAACAAAGTTGGATGTATTCATATATCCCAAATAAATAACACCTCAACGATTACTAAAGCTAAAGCCTTCCTTGAACAGTTTTGAGACTACTCCACACCAATGCCACCACACATTTTGACAAGTATATATTTGCCTAAAATTAAGGACAACTCAGCTAATCCAATTAAGTGCTAATTTAACGAATCAGAACTTGATGGCACTTTACATGGCAAAATATGTACTACCACAGGCTTGGATAAATGTAATTATGAGACGTTAGCTCCCCTATATAAATTTCTGAATTCCTATCCCTTCCAATTCCTACTTCCGATGAAATTCCTATTTCTGAACCTGGCAGAGATCTTCTCCTTTCCAAGTTGAGACCTATCACCCTCATCTTCTGTTTAGCTATGACAGCTATACTTATCATAGCTAAACACAGATTTAGGTAGTTTCTAAAAAAGAATTATTTATATAGTCAGACCAGTTTTGGCTTTCTTTTTGAAAAAAAAAAATGTTCAATGTCCAACAGAATTATGTTTTTTATAAACAAAATATAAAAAAACACTATAGCAAAATAATTTTTCAAATGATCACCCTTTAAAGCAAAGACACTTATAACAAAGCGGAAATTTTGATAGACGAATCTTCTAGATGTGATGAAAAAGTTGATTATTAATTACACATCATATTTAATATGCAGTTTGCAAACAACCAAGTGAAAAGTTAAAGTTCACTCATATACAATATAGCCATGACCCAAGGGGATCCATTAAGTCTCATTCTCTTCTATATTTACTCATACATATGTTAACGAAGTCCCCCCTTGACAAATACAAAATTCTACACCATGCTGTTGATTTAATAATCCACACAAAATGAATTAGAAGAATGTCATATACTGAAATAAGTATTCAATATACTGAAAGAAAATCTGTGTGCATGTGATGTTCCAATAAATATATCTAAATATAAAATTATTCATTTAAAAATTGAACAAATAAAAAAAATCTAACACAATTAACCATCCATACAAACAGTGGATTAATAGATGCCACCAATGCAATCCAATTACTAGGTGTACACCTTGCTATAAAATTTCTTTTAAACACACATAACGAAACAGAGATATTAAACATCCAAAGGATATGTTCAGGGACATTATGCACAAGCACTATAAATGCGCTTAATTCTTAAGCAGGTGAATAGTCTCTTCAATTTAAATGGGATATGTTCATAAAATGTTTTTTCTAAAAGTAGGCTCAAACATTAATGTTCCTTTATATGAAGCTATCCAATATCGCATCCGATACATTTCAAACCAGGAATAATTGTTCAAGAAATGAGACCCTCATTTAATTCATTTGTCATGTCTGCCGGACTATTCCACCTATGCGTATCCATTCCAAAGTCACAAATCATCACTAAACCTGATTCTAAACTAAATCAACCACACTGGTCCAAAACACACAACCCAACAGCAGCAAAGAGGAAACACATGAAATATTATCAGAAAAGCTCAAACATTATTATGAAATATATATATATATATATATATATATATATATATATATATATATATAAATAGACATATCAAGAGATAAACAGAAGATTACAGTCCAGATATGTGATACCCATTCTAACCAAGAAAACTTCATGAGACTTCCTATAAAATTTTGTATCTATAGTGCAGAATTATACTCCGTTGCTGAAGTTTTCAAATTAGTCAATAGATCCTACAAGAACATCAAAGTTGTAATTTTAACGGATTTCGCTTCTCATACTTTGTAACTCTCAAAAATATCCAACAACAACAAATCCGATCATATCTAATATACAGATTAATACAGAAAGTCCATTTTTCTACATACAAAAAATTATTACATTCAAGGTTCTGCTGGTAAGAGGCCATTCTGGTCAGTATGTGAATGAATGTGATTTGATAAAGGAATGTGCTTAGGAAATATTGTCTTCTTAAGGAGGGGAAGACCCACCCTAACTGAGTGTAGTGGTGGGAGACACAGGAGTGTCTCGGGGTCCCAATTATAAATCTTATGAAGCTATTCATAAATCTTTTCAGTCTATCATGGAGCTCCACCGAGAGCCCACCGTACACCACACAGCTGTAGTCAATGTGGGGAAAGATGAGAGAGGAAAATAGGAGTCTACAGGTATTTTAGGGTAGGAGATGGCAGAAGCGATGGAATAGTTTGAGAGTAGAAATTGCACGACGGGAGATATGAGAGATATGGTGATTCCAAAAGAGGGTTTGATTTAAGAAAAAGCCTAAATTTTAACAGAAGGGAAGAAGGTGATAGGATGGTTATTTAGGTAAAGTGAAGGAAAGTTGGTGAGGGACCTAAGAAGGGGCTTGGAACCTATGACAATGTCCTGAGTTTTAGCAGCATTTAGCCTTAATCTGTTTAAGTTTGCCCAGGCACTGATGTTTGAATAAGAACTACTGCAAATATACTAATGTTATAATATAAACAATTTTGAAACTTTAAAGTAAATGACATTAAAACAAATATTAAAGTTAGGAGATAAATAGCTAAACATTGGTATCGGCATTGGTAATAATAAGATATTGGTAATAATAGAGCAAAAAAAAATACCTGTATGGAGGTCAAAACTGCAGCAACATCCAAGGCTGGGGTCCAAAGGGTAACTAATGTATTCATACAAACCATTCCATCATGGAATACATTAGGATGAAATATTCTTGAAATAAATTTAACCAATGGTGGATCAATGGGATAATTTTCAGAAAAAAACAAATGTAATTTGAATATGCCATTTTCATAAAGAGTATCTAGCGGCCTAAAAGAGAAAAGGTAAATCTGATTATAAATATAGAGAGAATGTAAATGTGGAAATTGACATTGCTTTTTTAATATGTGACAGTTGAAAGAACTCTTATAAATCATATTTTATCTTACTACTAAAATATCACATGTTCAATTCTTAAAGATAGGTTGGTCACATGATTGTTTTAAATATATAGATTCTTTTTGCTTAAAAGCTGAGTCTTAGATTAATTATTAATATTACTTAAATATATATATATATCTATTGTATTGCTTTCTATTTCTTTGTGTTCAAGTGAAAATTTTCCTAAGTTTACCTTATAATTCTATCATGTAAAAGTAATACTAATAAATATAATAGGTTAATTTTAAAAGAGTGAAAATTAGTTTTTTGATAGTACAATATTTTTAGGAAACTGAAAAAAGTATGGCTGATGTTAAAAACTTTAAAATTAGCTTAAATTAAGGATTTTTAAAAATTTGAGTAAAAAATATTTATTGAAGGAAGTTAGTCGACTGTTCTACATATCATGGGTGATAAATAGTCAGGACACAGTCATCTTAAAGGTTTTTATTGGTGCCGTCGTTTCAACCCAAACATGTGGGTCATCATCAGGACACTGGTGGCTTGTTTCGAGCTCTGAAGGTATTCAACTACTCTATGAAATACGGGCTGATGATGACCCACATATTTGGGCTGAAACGTAGGCACCAATAAAAATCTTTAAAATGACTGCGTCATGACTATTTATCACCCATAAAAAATATTTAATTTTACAATACTTCTTTGTTGCAAAACTGTAAGTAGAGTTTGTTAAACCAAATTGAATTGGCAAAAGTGTAAATATTATTGCCATTCTAGTGTGAGCCTTCATTTTTCTGTATCTCACTGTTTTGAAATGGCTCTTTGTTTTTTGCCAATTTGCTTTATTGTGTCTGAAATAAAAATGCTTCGGGAATAGAAACATTACATTTGATGTGAGTATTACCAAAACGTTTTTACAAAACTAAGGGACATGTTTTCATGTTACCCACACATTAGCCATTTTGAATCTGAGAAATAATGTTAAGAAACTATGGGTTTAATTTTGATTTCCAAGTACTCATACTTTCAATGGATGTCCAATAATTTTCCAAACTTTTAATTGCATATGATTAATTATGTTATCTATGAGATACCATAGACTGCATAATAAAATAAAATTTAGCTCTAAAAATTTTCGAAATCTCGACAATGTAACTTAGCAAACTTCATTGTTCCACCAGCTGCCAGCCTGCTAGCCAGTACAAAAATAACGTACTACAATTATTTTCTACTAATCTTCTAAGAACACAACACTCTGAAAGCCTGATACTATATGTTCCAGATTGCCTCATTTTCCATGTTTGTACCTCTTCTTTCTTAATTAAGCTAAAGGCAGTGCTACATGATGGCTTAAACATTTGAGTGAAGGTTCAGAGCAACATTCGTCGAATAGATAGCAAATGTGAGGCAAATGGTTAGTGAAATGTGAGAGGAATATTTTAATTAATATTTTTTGTTATTATTGTTAATTCTATAATATATATATCATTTTACTGATTTAAACAAAAATTAAAAGTTTGTTTTTAACTACAAATTATTATTGTAAGTAATAATGTTTTGCCAGTTCTTTAACATTTAGTAAATAATTACTACATATACTTTATTATTATTACTTTTTTTTAAAGTTAAGTGATGCTTTGCCTATGTTAAATGCATCCATTGCATAACAGTCAATTTTATAACATATTTTTTATTATTAATTTTAATTTTAATATTTATAAAATATCAATATTTAAATATTTGTGTTGTATATTGTTTGGAACTTTATTGTATTTTCTATATTGTATTTTAACTTATTATGTTAACAACCAAAAGTTGATGTTAATTCAAAATTTATGATAAAAAATTTTGATTTATTATTTTATGTTAAATATAATTTTAATGTGTGTAATTTTTAGGTTAATCTTTAAAACCATAAATTATCAAGACATCAAATTTATTTATTATTTGATACCTTGGGTATTCAAAATAAAAATAGTCGAAACTGTTGTTAATATCCAAATATCTTATAATCTTGTCAGCTAAAGTGATTTAGCTGAAAATTTTATTGTCTTATGAATATTACTTAGTAAACTTTTTAAATCTATGTATTAATTATTTTTTACTTTCACTTATCTATAAATTTAATATATAGTAACGGTAAGTATTGCGATCATGAAAATTTTTGAGTCTGAGTTTTCAACGGAAATACACGTTTTGAGGTACCCTGAGTCCAAATAACCAAGTCCCGAAAAATGGTCTGTGTGTATGTGAACACTCTAGCTCGAAAACGAAAAGTTGTAGAAAACTGATATTAAGTATTTAAGATAGGTATGTGCCTTAGATGTCCTAGCAACTTTTTCCTTAAAATAGGGTTACCGGAAGTGCTGCATTATGTCAACACTGAAACACATTTCACAATTTTCTCAAAAACGGCTCTAACGATTTTTATTAAACTCGGTATATCATTGTATAATTAAGTGGTCTTTAATATCATTGAGGTCTTATCCCCGTTGATGTCACTTTACAGGGCTTAAATGCCCAATGTTCATATACGTCTTCCTCTAAAGTATTTTTAATATGATTTATTTCAAATAATTAACTATCTTTTATTATTAAAAGTTAAAAACAATGTTAAATATGACTTTTGAAAGTATTTGGTAATTTAATAAAGGAGAAAAAATTAAAATGCTTACCCAGGTAGAAAATGAATCTCAAGAAATACTAGTCAGAAGGTATACATATAACATATCATTGGAAAGCGGAGAATTTTAGAAAAAAACAATATCTAATATAGAAAGTTGTAGAAGTTAATGGAGAGTGGCAAAAAATTATAAATAATAAACTCTTAAAACTAACATTGTTTAACGTAAATCACATGTTTTCAAGGAAATCAAATGAAATTTACTAATTGAATGTAAGCTTTAAAAAATATTTTTAAGTTTGTAAAAAATATTCAAAATCCACCTAATCAAGGCAATGGCATTGTTAAAAAAACTATTTCATTATACTTGTGTGAAAGAAGAAGTAAAATATAAATACATTTCATGGATGTACTGTAGTTTAGTGATTATAGATCTGATATTATATTTATATAATTAGGTATCCACGTTTATTCTAAAAAATTGTCATGTAACTTTTTAGAAAATTAAATTAGTGAATAATTTGATGAATTTTCCCTTTGTGAAATCCCAACATTATCATGTCTTCCTCTAAAGTACCTTTAATTTGGTTTATCATAAATAATAACTATTTATCATTGTTAGGAGTTATAGAAAAATGCTAAATACAACTTTTGGAAGAATTTTATAATTAGATAAAGGAGTAAAAAAAAAAAAATACTCATCCAGATTGAAAATGAATATTCCGAAATAATAGTCAGAAGATACGTATAATATATCATTGGAAATTAAAGGAAAATTTCTTACTAAATGTAAACTTTAAAATTATTTTAAGTTTGAAAAAGTATTTAAAACCCACGGATTCAAGGCAATGACATTGTTTAAGATACTACTGCATTGTACTTGTGTGAAAGATGAAGTGAAATATAAAAATATTTCATGGATACGTTTATAACATTAAATATATTTACTGTAGTTTAATAACTCTAGATCTAATATTATATTTAAATAATTAGGTATCTACCGTCCGTTTATCCCAAAAAATCATTATGTAACCTTTTAGAAAACTAAATTTGATAAATTTTCCCTTTGCCATATTCCAACAGAATCCACTTACAATCAGTGTGACAATTGTTGACCTGTCTATGATAGACAATGCAAATCTCTTAATGCTGTTTTAGTAAACTTTGCAATGAAAAATAACAGTTTAATAACTAATAGTCGTACAATTCATAATCCGCCGGTGATATAATAAATAGGACTTTTGTTATTTCAATAGTATTTATGATTTGTTAGCTGCAATCTTTTAGCTTTATCTCAGTTAAAAATGCAATTCAAAAATTTTATAATAGCCCAACATGGCCAGAAAATAATTTCTATTTAAAGTTGAGCAGAAAGTGAAAGTTGTCGGTGCACCAAATTTTTAAATTTTAATTTAATTTTCTATTCACCAAGTGGCTATATAATTGATTTTTAATTTGTTATACAATTAATTCTTTTTTTCCCTCCACATCCACTTAGTTCAACAGATATTCTTTCTACCATGTCTGTAATCATGTGTTATTGTTCTTAATCAGATCCAATAAATTGGAAATCTTTAAATTATTCTTTGCACATGATTTTATTCCCATTTGTGTTTATTTCCAATCAATAGAAAAGTAATAATGTTCTTATTTAAGTGTTATCTAATTGGAATTTCATTTTTATTTGATTTATTCTAATTTCAATTAAAATATTTTTTTCACTTCTATTACATTGTTGATACCAAGGTTATATAATTCATAAGCACAATTTAAGGAAGATAATTTAGTTAATAGTATGTTTATATAATTTATAATTGGTTTTAACTTTACTATATACTAAGATTGTAATATTTATTGTTTTAATTATTTTTTAAATTTTATTTGCTTACTCAAGTCTAGGATTGATTCATACTTTTTTAAAAAGATTTTTTTTCTAGTAATATGCAATTCATTTATTGGAAATATTTATTTTGTGTTAACTGTATTTTCTGTAACAGTATCATTATTTGAGAAACCAATCAATTCAATATATTAGTATTCAGCGACAAAAAAGAAACAAATAGTTATAATTCACACATGAAGTTAAACAAAATCCTGTATTTAATTAATTAATTTTTAAAGAATGAACTTCAGCATTTTTCAAAATAAAACAGTACTGATTAAAATAAAATTAAAATACAGTTGAGTTTATTAATTATTCTACACCATCTTAAACAAAATGATTAAAAAGAAATCAATTTTTAATCAAAAACATAGATATAATCACTGGATGTTGATTCCTATAATTCCCCTAATGTACATCAAA